TGTAAAACTTGATAACGGTTTAATTTGCTCGGCGCTGTGCACGACACCATCCTGCATCTTTCTTGATTTTGCGAAAGCATTCGACAAACTTCCACATCACGTGCTCCTTCTCAGAATTGCAGCCTTAAATATTGACCCTAATATCTTAAAACGGATTGAATGTTTTTTGACTAACCGCACACAATTTGTAATAGCGAATGATTGTACTTCATCTCCTTCTTTGGTAAAATCTGGTGTACCTCAAGGTTCCGTTTTAGGCCCTCTGCTCTTCCTAATATACAGGGTGAAACAAGGAGACGGCAGGCTCTTTTAATCGACCGCAAAATTCGGTTTCTTAACCTATCACGCTACGACTTTGTGCAGCGTTGCCCACAGATGGTGCATTTTTTTCGTAAAATTTGCAAAGAGCGAACTTACCTGAGGAAAAAGTAAAGAAAGAAAAAGGCCTAACGCCTATGGAAACGCAGCGAAGCCACCGGTCTGCAAACAACACGGCGCCGTTTAGCACGGGAGACAAGAGATGGCGCAAGCGGTCGCGACGCCAAATGCCGCCAACGAACGAGCAGACGACGGCGAGAGCCGGCGTATTTAGCAGACAAGGAACTGCAGTTCCTTGTTGTTACCGCGCCTGCTTTTGTTTCTGCGACTGTTGCCGCCTGCGGAACGCGCGCCGCTTTTGAGTCGAAAAGATTGTCTGCTAAAGACGCTGGCTCTCGGCGCCGTATGCTCGTTCATTGGCGGCGTTCGTTGCGCCATCTCTTGTGTCCCGTGCGAAACGGCGCCGTGTTGTTTGCAGACCGGTGGCTTCGCTGCGTTTCCATAGGAGCTAAGCCTTTTTCTTTCTTTACTTTTTCCCCAGGTAAGTTCGCTCTTTGCAAATTTTACAACAAAAAAAAAAATGCACCATCTGTGGGCAACGCTGCACAAAGTCGTAGCCTGATAGGTTAAGAAACCGAATTTTCCGGTCGATTTAAAGAGCCTGCCGTCTCCTTGTTTCATCCTGTATATTAATGACCTTCCTAACTGTATTCAGTCCTCTATAAAGTTATTCGCTGACGACTGCCTTCTTTACCGCCAAATAAATGACCTATCCGATCAATCTATTCTCCAATCTGACCTCGACCACATCTCTACCTGGTGTAATAAATGGCTGATTACCCTTAACATTAACACATGTAAAAGCATGATATTCTCACGCCACCCTAACCCCCTCTGTATCATGTGATTACAAGATTAACGATATTTTCCTTGAACACGTCAAATCGTACAAATACCTTGGAGTTCACATAACTGATGACTTCTCATGGCAAACCCACGTTAACTACGTTATTAATAATTCTAATCGCATCCTCGGCTACTTACGTCGAAGTTTTGCTCAAGCCCCTTTTTCTCTTAAGCTTCTTCTTTACCGTACACTCATCCGCCCAAAGCTCGAACATGCTTCTGCGATATGGGATACAAGCACAACGTTATCTTATTAATGCCATTGAATCTGTTCACAATCGATCAGCGCGCTTTATTTACTCTAATTATTACCGCCTTGCTAGCGTGTCACTAATGAAGTCTAATGCTGGTATTCCTGAACTAATGCTTCGAAGAAAAATTGCGCGTCTTTCTCTTTTTCATAAAATATATTTTTATAACCCAGCGCTCAAAGAGGAACTCTTTTTGCAGCCTTCATACCGTTCCTCCCGGGTTGATCACCAATACATAGTTGCCATACCTCATTGCAGCACTAACATCTTTCATTCTTTCTCGCAAAAAACTTGTTCAAAGTGAAACTACCTACCCCCACACATCGCCGCGATCGAAGATATTTCTGCTTTTAAGGCAGCCATAAATGAGTACTTTTATAACTCTGCAATTCGTTGATTATACTTTTTCTGCTGTTTTGTTGTTGTTGTATATTTTTTGTACTGTGAAGTGATCATTGTACTTTGTAAACCCATTCTACCCACCCCCCCTGTAACGCCCGATGGGCCCTGAGGGTAATGAAATAAATAAATAAATAAAATACCACACTTTAAACAAACTTTGAAATTCAGCTGGCAACAAATGGTTTGTTGTATTATTACCATTCATATCAGAAATACAAAGTAATAAAAAAAGACCCCCAACCCCCCTCCTCCCTTTCACGATCCCCACTCACGCCCATCTTTTACGCCGGCAGATGAAGCAAGTCAAAGGTGCATATGCAGATAATTCAAAACGGAGTTCATAACAACTTCAGTCGTCATGGCCGACGTTGTGTCATAGTTGTATTGTGGCCGTCCGGAGCTCTTCCACCGATGTCGCCTCCCGCGGGCTCATGTTAGGACTCACGCAGCACGGCTAGCAGCAGACGCCGCGAACTCTCCAGCAGCAGACGACGCGAACTCTCCAACACCTCCCACACCACGCACCACGTGCGGCGGCTGCGGCCACGCCCCAGGTGGTGCCAGCATTCACTCAGGCTGCCGCATGGATGGATGGATGGTAATGGCTATACCCCTTGTAACGGGCGGCAGCTTGCGTCACCTAGCCTAACATTTCGTCATCCCTTCTACTATATTTTTTTTTAATTTGAATTTGTACGAATTTTGTTATAACAGACCCCCCACTTTTTAGAGCGCAGCTCTTAGGGGCCCGTTTCCAGCCTGAGCGGCGTCGCCGTTGGCGTCGGCGTCGCCGTCGCCGTCGCCGTCGGCGTAACCGCGCCCCTCCCCCTCCTCCTCCTCCCCCTCCTGCTCCCCTCCTCCTCTTCCTCCCCCTCCTTCTCCTCCTCCCCTCATTGTGTAGTATGGTCCGGGTGGGTCACGTGACCTCGGCGGGAGGGGGTCACATGACCCGTTTCCAGCCTCTGCGGCGTAACCGCGCCCCTCCCCCTCCTCCTCCTCCCCCTCCTCCTCCCCTCCTCCTCTTCCTTCCCTCCTCCTCCCCTCATTGTCTAGTATGGTTCGGGAGGGGGTCCACTTGACCTCGGGGGGAGGGGGTCACCTGACTTCAGCGGGGGGTCACGTGGCCTCGGGAGGGTCACGTGACTACCCCCTCCCCTCCCCCCCCCGAGATCACGTGGCCCCCGCGAGGGGAAGAGGAGAACGCAGGGGAGCAGGGAGGATGAGCAGGGCGGACAAATCCGAATTTTCATTTCTCCGAAAAATTATTTTAAAAGACTCTTATCTCTTATCCCTCGGCCGGCTTCGGCTTTCCTGCTGCACGGTTGAAAAACCCTGCAGCAGAAAAATAATAGAACAAAGAGAAGCTAAAAGCTGCTAAAGTGCGTTCATTTCTTAAAAGTAGCGCACGGTGCGTCGATGCACAAGGCACGTGCAACGTGCAGACTTTGGAAAGATCATGGCGGCACAGTGCATATTCAAACTAGATTTCAGATGCCATGTTACACTGGCCATGTTCTTCCCAGAATTGGTGCACGGCACGTGTCTCCAGCATTCCCACAACAATCAATGCAGCCACTTTTGTCAGGATGGAGGGGCTTTAGCAGCTGCTGCTAAACGTGCTGCACGAGCAGAGGGTCAGCACCGCCGGCGCCGTGATCCAGCATGAGTGATATCACAAAGACGACGACGACGAGACGTAATCAGGCAGTTCTTTTTCACAAAATGAGCGAGTCAGATGAAGCAGCTGCTGCTAAACGCACTGCCCGAGCAGAGGCTCAGCGCCGCCGGCGCCAAGATCCTGCAGTGCGTGCCGCCGAAGCTGAAGCTAAACGGCGCCGTCGACAAGACCCGGAAGTGCGCGACGCCGAGGCAGAAGCTCATCGCCGCCGTCGAGAGCAGCCAGGAGTGAGCGCCGCCGAAGCGGAAGCCAGAAGCCGCTATCGAGAGGACCCGGAAGTGCGCGACGCCGAAGCAGAAGCTCATCGCCGCCGTCGAGAGCAGCCAGGAGTGAGCGCCGCCGAAGCGGAAGCCAGAAGCCGCTATCGAGAGGACCCGGAAGTGCGCGACGCCGAAGCAGAAGCTCATCGCCGCCGTCGAGAGCAGCCAGGAGTGAGCGCCGCCGAAGCGGAAGCCAGAAGCCGCTATCGAGAGGACCCGGAAGTGCGCGACGCCGAAGCAGAAGCTCATCGCCGCCGTCGAGAGCAGCCAGGAGTGAGCGCCGCCGAAGCGGAAGCCAGAAGCCGCTATCGAGAGGACCCGGAAGTGCGCGACGCCGAAGCAGAAGCTCATCGCCGCCGTCGAGAGCAGCCAGGAGTGAGCGCCGGCGAAGCGGAAGCCAGAAGCCGCTATCGAGAGGACCCGGAAGTGCGCGACGCCGAAGCAGAAGCTCATCGCCGTCGCCGAGAGCACCCAGAAGTAAGCGCTGCTGAAGCTGAATCTAAGCGCCGCCGTCGAGAGGACCCGGAAGTGCGCGACGCCGAGGCGGAGGCTCATCGCCGCCGCCGAGAGCAGCCAGAAGTGAGCGCTGCTGAAGCTCAATCTAAGCGCCGCCGTCGAGAGGACCCGGAAGTGCGCGACGCCGAGGCAGAGGCTCATCGCCGCCGCCGAGAGCAGCCAGGAGTGAGCGCCGCCGAAGCGGAAGCCAGAAGCCGCTATCGAGAGGACCCGGAAGTGCGCGACGCCGAAGCAGAAGCTCATTGCCGCCGTCGAGAGCAGCCAGGAGTGAGCGCCGCCGAAGCGGAAGCCAGAAGCCGCTATCGAGAGGACCCGGAAGTGCGCGACGCCGAAGCAGAAGCTCATCGCCGCCGTCGAGAGCAGCCAGGAGTGAGCGCCGCCGAAGCGGAAGCCAGAAGCCGCTATCGAGAGGACCCGGAAGTGCGCGACGCCGAAGCAGAAGCTCATCGCCGCCGTCGAGAGCAGCCAGGAGTGAGCGCCGGCGAAGCGGAAGCCAGAAGCCGCTATCGAGAGGACCCGGAAGTGCGCGACGCCGAAGCAGAAGCTCATCGCCGTCGCCGAGAGCACCCAGAAGTAAGCGCTGCTGAAGCTGAATCTAAGCGCCGCCGTCGAGAGGACCCGGAAGTGCGCGACGCCGAGGCAGAGGCTCATCGCCGCCGCCGAGAGCAGCCAGAAGTGAGCGCTGCTGAAGCTCAATCTAAGCGCCGCCGTCGAGAGGACCCGGAAGTGCGCGACGCCGAGGCAGAGGCTCATCGCCGCCGCCGAGAGCAGCCAGGAGTGAGCGCCGCCGAAGCGGAAGCCAGAAGCCGCTATCGAGAGGACCCGGAAGTGCGCGACGCCGAGGCAGAGGCTCATCGCCGCCGCCGAGAGCAGCCAGGAGTGAGCGCCGCCGAAGCGGAAGCCAAGCAAAAGGCAAGGATCGCTAAGCCTGACGGTGCAACAAAAATTTTCCAACGGCTGTTTAGAGACAACCCGTTTGGGAGCGTATGTTCAGTCTGTGACCGGCTCTGGTTCCAAAACGACTTGCAACCGCTACCGGACAGATGTCACGAGACCCTAGAGCAATCATTTCCAAACTCGGACCTAACCCAATTCAAACTGTGCTCGACCTGCATACAATCAGTGCACAAGGGTCATATTCCTCATCTTTCCTCAAATAACGGTTATGTATATCCCCCGAAGCCAGCCCACCTCCCACAATTGAACGCGGTGAGTGAGAGACTCATATCTCCACGAATTCCTTTCATGCAACTGCGACGGCTGATGCACGGTGCAGGTCAACACGGCATTAAGGGACCAGTAGTGAACGTCTGTGTTGATGTGGACGACATGGTGACAATGTTGCCTCGTGCCATCGAACAAGACCGAGCCCTCAATGTACATTTGAAGCGGGGCATGCTTGCGAAGACGACCTACCTGGCAGGGGCAGTAAAAAAATGTGATCTGCTGCCGTGGCTTAAGCTGCTGTGTGATAGCACGCTGTACAAGCATTATAATATAAAGTGTGATTTTGCCCGTTTGGGCGATATCGTAGAAGTGGACGAACACGACGAGATCGAGTTGCTCCCGCAATGCTCAGACCTCAACGATCCGATCCAAGTGGCTACAGCCATGACTCTGGCTCAGCACACTCTCGTATGGGACGAAGACAAGTTTCTAGCGATTGCGCCAGGTGAGGGAAAAAGGCCCGTGAGCATACTTTATGACGAACACTCAGAGGAGCTTTCGTTCCCACAGATCTATCTCGGTGAGCCGCGCCGAGTAGATGCCAGCGCAAAACCGACAGTCTTCACACACGCCATGAGTGAGATCCGCAGATCAGACCGTCGAGGGGCCACCCCGCAGCACGTACTGTACATGGCCATGAAAGTGTTTAGGCACCGAGTAGCCGGTGACATGTGTGTGGCCTTCCGTAACATAAAGGCACTGGAAACACTAACGAAGCAACAGTTGCTCGACAAGGATTTTGTGCAGCAAGCGGTCGAGCACGACATGGCTTTCATGCATGGTATTCCCAACACCGTGCAGTACTGGACAAAACGCAAGAAAGACCTCTTTGCTATGATACGGCAGTTGGGTAAGCCGACCGCGTTCCTCACTCTTTCTGCCTCGGAAATGCACTGGCCCGACCTTTTGCAGTTGCTTCAACGCCTTCGGTTGAAGCCCGGCGAGATCGAAGTACCACTGGAGCAAATGAACAGCATTTATCGAGCACAGCTAGTAAATGACGATCCCGTGGTCTGTGCCATATATTTCGACCGATTGGTGCGTGTCATTCTCAACATTCTCCGCAACACCCGTGTATCGCCTTTTAGGCCGTACATAGTCGTCGACTACTTTAAGCGGATCGAATTTCAGCACCGCGGGTCGGCACACGCGCACATTCTCCTTTGGCTTCATAACGCGCCCAACGAGGAGCTCTCGATGCTCATGCCCCAGACTCTTGAAATAGCCAACGTTCTGCTTTCCATCGACAACGGATGCTTGAAGCGGGAGCGGACTCAGGTGCACCAACACACGCATACCTGCTACAAGCACAACACCACCAAATGCCGCTTTAACGCGCCTTTTATGCCCATCGATGAATGTATGGTCGTAGTGCCTTTCCCCACTGTGGACAATGAAGCGCAGAAGAAGAAAATCGAGAGCCTCCTAAACAAGTACGAGGCCATGCATCAGGCCCTGGAAACGACAAATTATGACTCCATGGAGCAGTTTTGGGAACATCACGGTGTCGCGGACAAGGCGGAGTACATTTCTGTTCTCCGAGCAGGCACTCCTCGTGCCACCATCATGCTACCCCGTACTGTGCAGCAAAAGTGGGTGAATTACTTTAACCCATGGGTTGCATCAATTCTCGATTCTAAGATGACCAAACTTGATCATTTAGAGGAAGTAAAAGTCGTAACAAGGTTTCCGTAGGTGAACCTGCGGAAGGATCATTACCGGATGTTATTTGGCATCGTTTTGTCTTCTTCCTCTTGTACGGGGAATGGACTCGATGTGCGAATTTATCTGGCGCCGATCCCGACCAAGCTTGGATGCCGTCGGGACGGCACAAAAAAAAAAAACAACTGTGGTTCGGATGTGCCTTTTTCTTTGGGTGGCCTCCGTTCCTTTCGATGATGCGCCCAGCGGGAGCCCTCTGCTGCCTCGATTGAGAGGAGAT